CAGCCATTTCTAAGAGACCAGAAGCAACTGGAACTGGAAAGAACTGTTACCCGGGCAGCTTACAAACTGCAGTGTATGGGCTGAGGGTGCATTTTCTTTTACAACCCAGTTCCCCACCTTGATTGATGGGCCCAGGGAGCCTCAAGGTGGAACTGATCGACCCACTTGTCCCTCAAGGCTGCATCTGCCCAGCCATCCTTGTCTCTCCCAGCTGCAGGGGCTGCCCCTCTCAGTCCCTGCCTCTGCCTCCACACACTGCCACCTCTCTGATGTCTGTCACTTACCTGGGTGCCTCTGTCTTTGCCCTGGGTGCCACTTAGGTTGGGCTTAGGGCCAGCCAGGGTGATCTTACCTCAAGATTCCCAAGTTTGTTAAATCTGTTCAGACCCTTTTCCCGAATAAGGTCAAGGTCGTCTCTGGAGATCAGGGCTTCTGCATACAACTTTTGGAGGTCACCCTTGGCCCCTGGCCCTGAAGAAGGTAATTCCGGCTGATCTGAGATGTGTGGGTCTTAGCTGTCCTCCCCTTCTTGTCCTCTTCCTCCTTCTCCTCTTCCCAGTGTGCTGGTCCCTTGAGGGTGCCTGAGGCCTGACAAACCTTTCCTGCAGGAAACTGACTCTTAGTTGCCAAAGAGAGATGGAAAGGATCCCGTAGCCCATAGGCAGACAGAATTAGGTGAAAAAATTGCCCACATATGCTTCGTGGGCGGGGCTTGAGGAGTTGATTCCTCTCACCCTAGAGAGCTGCTCCCAGGTGACCTTGAACACACCTGAGCGAGGTGGGAATTCTGCAGGCAGTCATGAAAGGACACCCAGGGTTTGAGGCAGATTTATTTATGTGGATGGCACTGATGGGGATCATTCCCAGAATAGCAGGCAGAAAGGACAGTGGCCGATGGCCGGTGGTCAGCTGGGGATTGGCCCTCACAGTGAGCAGCTGTTTCTAGAAGACAAAACTACCCAGAACTGGACCAGGAACTGTTACCTAGGCAATTAACAAACTGAAGTATAGTGGCTGAGGGGGAATAGGGTGCATCTTTTTTTAAAATTTTATTTAAGGAGAAAAAGAAAAAAACAGAAAAAGGTTACAAGTTATACAGAATTTCAGAAAAACAGTAGGAAATCACTAGTTAATAGATTGCATATTGTCATCTTAGAAATTGTTCAAGTTACAAAATTAAAGCATATAAAGTGGACATTCAAACACTGAAACTGCAAACAGTTCTGTTAAATAATCCAACAAAACTCAATAATATGGTTATCTATCTTATACACTTAAATATACATGCAGTTATATCCTTTAGAGCACTTTCTTCTCTCTTTTGTACAATGACAATCACACATTTTATTATTATTACTCTTTTTGAAGAGAATAAAACCAAATGTGACATAACAAAACAGAGTCAGTCAAATCAAAAGGATGGACATAATACATAATGTAAAAACAAAATACAGGGGCTGGGGATTTAGCTCAGTGACATAAGCACCTGCCTTGCAAGCAGGCGGTCATGAGTTCGATCCCCAGTACCGATAAAATAGATAAAAAAAAAAAAAAAAAAAAAAAACCAAGGTGATCAACAATGGTTACCATAATGCCTCTTGCTATCTTAAAAAGAATTGCCTATATCATAAGTTATAATAAAATTGAACAAAACAGTAAAGAACAAAACCAATAAAACCAAAATATTGGAGACATTACAGAACTTAAAAAGAAGATAATAGTCAAACCAGATTGGGCGTCATAATGAATCTTATTATCTTCACAGTTGTTGCCTATACTCTCAAACTTGGTACTATCAAGTAAAACAGAATAGAGAAAAATCAGTCAAAACAAGATGGCGAGAGCAATACAGGGTTTCAAATCAAGTCAATAGGAAATCAAAGTGGGTTACTATAATATATCCTGCTACTTTTATTTATTTTTCCCTTAATTAAAAAGATAAAAATAAAAAAGTAAATAATAAAAAAGGAGATTGAGATAAAAAAGGGCATAACAACAAAACAGCGCAGGTCAAAACATAACCATTTAAGCAAAATAGTGTTTCACCACAAGATATCCTGACATAGAAGTAGTTACCATAGTGTCTCTTCCCTTGAAATCTTTGAGTATAACTTCGTATACTGCAGCATCAAACATATCAAGACAATGTAAAACCATTCAAGAGAATGACAGTATTACAGGGTATTTAGAATCAACTAACAGAAAATGAACAATGGTTTCTGTATAATCTCCTTGTATATAAAAGTGTTTATATTATCACATATAATAAAATCCAGTAAGATACAACCTGTCAAGACTGATGGAGACAGAAGAACAAAAGCTTGATGGGACTTCAAAACAAGATGATATTAAGTCAGCACTAGCTATTATAATGTCTTGTTTTCTCCAAAATAGCTGTTCCTACCATCCAACCTTCTCTGCCTCATTTCTGTTGAGCTCTTTTTCTGTCATTAATTGTCAGTTTGTCTTCTTCATTTTGCTTTCTGCTCCATTCATTGTGGCCCCTCTGCCACTGTTTCTGGAATCTTGGTATTTTCTTTTTTTGGAATGTCCTGCAGTACTCTCTGTAGAGTTGAATTGGTGATTGCAAATTCCTCTAGCTCCTCTTTATCCTGGAAGCACCTTGTTTTTCCATTAATTTATAGGGACAGTTGTGCAGGATATATCAATCTTGGCTGGAGTTTATTATCTTTCAAAGCTTGAATTATTTCCCCCCACGCTCTTCGTGATTTGTTGGTTTGTGCTGAGAGGTCTGCTGTAATTCTGATGGGTGTTCCCTTGTAAGTGATCTGTGTCTTGTTTCTGATGGCTTTTAATATTCTGTTCTTATATTGGATTTCTGGAGTTTTGATTATTGCATGCCTGAATGTAGTTCTGTTCGGGTTGTAGGTGGCTGGGGTCCTGTATGCCTCATACATCTGAGTATCTTTACCTTTTGCTAAATTAGGGAAATTCTCCTGGATTATTTCTGTGAATAGCCTTTGTAGTTCATTTGTTTGTATCCCTACTTCTTCTTTTATGTTCTTAATTCTTAAGTTATAGATCCTCTTATCATCTTCTATCCTTTGTATTATTGCTGTTTGTTTCCTTGTTATTTTTAAGAAGTTTTTCATTTCATGCTCCCACATTACAAATCTGTCCTCCAGTTCAGATAATCTATCCTTAGTTTCTTTCAAGCTGTTATGCCAGCTTTCAATAGAGTTTTTACTTTCCTGGTAATCTCTTTGAACCTGCTTCATGTATTCTATGTTTTCTCTATTTTCTCCATCAAACAATTCTTCCCTTTTTTTCTGTTCTTCCATTCCACCATCTGTTTTTTCTTGGGCAGTGCTTAGCATTTCTGTAACTATTCTACTTATATCTTGCTTTACTTGGTTAAATACTTCACTTTTGAACTCATTTATGAGGTCCTGGAGATATCGCTTTATGTCTATTGGTGCCATGCCTGATATTGCATGTTTTCTGTCCTCATTCTCCTTTGCATTTACCTTTCCTGGATCAGTGTTCTCAGGATTGGGGGCTGAGGACCCTTTCTTGTTTCCTCCTCTTCTCATATTTTTTCTTCTTTCCATACAAGCGTATATAGGAGGCCCAGTTTCTTTCTTTGTTGGTTATAGTTTGTTTGAATTGTGCTGGTTAGGTGTTCCCTCCCACTGCAGTGTACTAGGGAGACACAGACCTGGGCAACCTATGCTGGGCCCGCCCTTCCAGGTCAATCAACTTGCTGAAGGCTTCACTGCATTAGGGTGCACTGCCAGGCCCAGGGACCTGGTTTGGGCTCTCCTACTGAGTCTTAGTCCATGGTGTCACCCAGATCAAGCGCTCCCCACCAATCCCACATGAGAGGGGAATATACAACCAAAGTCACTGCAGCATCCTATTCTAGCTAGTCTGCCCGGTCCCAGAATTTCCTCTGTTGGAGCCTCCTAGTCTATGGAAGGGTCCCCGTTCCTCTCACTCACCTCAGGTTGATGCAGGGCTCCCCGCCAGTCCCACTCTCAATGCCATTCGCCAATTCCCACTCTCAGAGCTTTCACGTCTCTATCCCTGCTGTGCCGATGCAGTAGTGGCAGGAAATTCAAATTGTGGTTTCCAGAGGTGCGGGTTCCATCTTCGCCGCTGAGATTTTATCTGTTCCTGTTATAGCACCGGGATTGCATTTCCAGTTGGTTTCTCTCAGCTTAGTTCGTTCCTGGGTCTGCAGGGCATATCTCCCCTTGCTTAGGACTCCTCACACCACACCATTCCTGGAATCTAAGCTGAGTATCTCAGAGAGCCTCCATAGCTGCTGTTATCTATCCGCCATGTTCTCCCGGAAGTGAAGTGCATCTTTTGCTATACAATGAGGAGGGGACAGCTCTCCAAAGAAAAGGGGTACCCTGCCATGCCCAGCCTGCTGTGCGGAAATGAAACTGAGGCTACACAGATGGACTTGATGACCCAGGCAGGTCCAGGACCCGGTGACCAGGGCCCCAGTGGGTGCTCATGGTCTGCAGGATGCTGTGCTTTCCCCCAGGTGCTGGGCATGGCTCTGGGCTCTGGAGACACAGGGACAGGGCTGCCCAGTGGTGTCCTGTCCACCTTGGCCACAACTGCATTTTGTGTCACATGGAAACAGTGCTTTAAGAAGTGAGTACGGTCCTGAGGGGTCCCCTACCCCGGGACAGTAGCAGGGTCAGGTTTGGGGCGCGGACACCACAGAGCCCTGGGTGGGGCAGGAGAGTGACAGGACGGACAGTGACTTCTTCAGAGGATCATGACACACCAGACGCAGGATTCAGGGGTCACCCATGGTGCAGAGGTGTCACTGGGGCCTGGAGACCACTCCTCGGTCATCTCATCACTCACTGGGGAGGAGGCTTGGCTCTGCAGGTCCAAGGACATGCTGGGGACCCTCTGGCTGCCGGGGTTTGTGTCTGGATCTAGGATCCTGAGGCAGCTTGAATTTCCTGGGGAGCTGTGGGGCGCCTGCTGCCACCTTCCTTGACCCGGCTGCCCAGATATTGTGGACATCAAGCCAGCAAACATGGAGGACCTCACGGAGGTGATCACTGCATCCGAGTTCCACCCCCACCACTGCAATCTCTTTGTCTACAGCAGCAGCAAGGGCTCCCTGCGACTGTGCGACATGCGGGCGGCCGCCCTGTGTGACAGGCACTCCAAGCGTAAGTGGCCGCGCTAGTGCAGATGTGGGTATGTGGCCTGGGCTCCCTGATCTCGGCTCTGACTGTTGGGCCGGGTCCTGACTGCTGGTCCCTGCTCAGACAGGAGCCATCTGGCTGCCAGGGCCCCCGAGTCTGGGAACCTGGGGTAGCAAAGAGAGGTGCCCTGACCTCCGCACCTGGCCATGCTCTTGGGACTTCCTGCTCCAACCACGCAGGTTCCTGAGCTCCTTGGCGTGTGACCAGGGGGCCACCAGGGGCGCTGTGGGAGCCTGGGGCCAAGGACCCACCCCACATCTCAGCTGTGCCATGCTGTTCCCTGTCCCAGGTGATGCTGGGCTTCAGGACCCCAGTAGATCAGGTCATAGAGCCCGGAGACCCCAAGGCCAGGTGTTCTCAGAAGTTCCCAAGGCCGGCTGCTGGCTTGGGCAGCATCCTGGGGTCCAGGCCCCTCCCCGCAGCCGCAGCGGGCAGAGCCGCTGGCCTGATGAAGTTGCTCTTCCTTTTTCTCTTCGCCTGGTTTGTCACAGTGCTCTGTCCTGGGCATGGCATGCGTTTCCTTTCTCTGGAAGTCAGGATGGTAAACACACCCCAGCATGTCCCGGCAGAGTGGGTGTCAGTCTGTCCAGTGTCATTTTAAGAGAGAGGTTCTATTTATTTAATTTTTAAAAATTTTACTAGTTTTTTTTTTATTTAGAGAAAAAAAGCAAAACAGAAAAAAGGGTAGAAATAATACAGAATTTCAAAAAAAAAGCTAAGAAATCACTAGTGCACAAATTACATATTGTTATCTTGGAAGCAGTTGCTCAAGTCACACAATCAAAGCATAAAAAGTGCACAATCAGACAAGGACAGCACAAACCATTCTGTCTGATGAACTAACAGAAGCTTAGTAATATCATTAGCTGTCTTGCATACTTAGACATACACAGTTACACCCTTTAGAGCACTTTCCTTCCCTTTCATTATCTCAGTATCTGTTATATATTTTGGATCTTATTACTCTTTCAGTTTTTTATTATTTTGTACACTAGAGAGAAAATACGATATTTACAAATGTGAGTCTGATTTATTTCACTTATGAGGACAGTGTCAAGTTGCTTCCTTCTACCTATTTGTTTAATTTTATAAACTGGGTCTTGCCATGTGGCCCGGGCTGGCCTAGAACTTGCAGGGACCCTTCTGCCTCAGCCTTCTGCGTATTGGTGTCACAAGTGTGCACCATCACTCCTGGCTGAGATTTGCTTTTTTTCTTTTTTTAAAGCCAATTTCTTTTTTCTTTTTCTTTTTGCGACACTCGGGATTGAACCCAGGCCTTTGCACTGAACCCTGTTCCTTTTCAGTATGGGGTCTTCCTAGTCATCAAGTTGCCCAGGCTGAGCTTGAACTGTGATCCTCCTGCCTCAGCCTCCCAGACTGTTAGGATTAGAGGCACGCATCACCGCAGCCCACTGTGGTTTCCTTTTTCATTAATGTCTTGCGCATTTTCCTATTAGTGTTAATTCTGCACATTAGTTTTCTAGAATATTTTTTCTTATGCTCAATATCTTGCAGAGAAAATTGACAGCTCCCTCCCTGCCTCTCTCTGTCTCTGTCTCTCTGTACTGGGGATTGAACCCAGGGCCTGACACATGCCAGACAAGCGCTCTATCTACCCCAGCCCAGATTCTTTCCTTGAATGCAGGCAGAAGGCCTCTGCACCTCTTTCTTTCTTTCTTTTTCTTTCTTTCTTTGTCTTTTTGAGACAGATTCTCTCTATGCAGTTCAGGCAGTCCTTGAGCCACTATGTATCCCAGGCTGGTCTCAGACTCACACTGATCCTCCTGCCTCAGCCTCCCAAGGCTGGGATGACAGGCGTGCGCCACCACGCCCAGCTTCCTGGACCAGTCTTAACTGCCCTCCCAATGTGTCTGCCTTTCCCGTTTAATTCGCCATAAGCCAGCAGTGCATGGCTGAAATCCTCATCCTCCAAATCCCTGAAATCCTTGTCAGCTCCCAGCGTTGTCTCCACTTAGCGGGTGGCTGGGCTGTCGAGTGCTCCCAATGCCCCAAGCGCCGCTGGACACCCAGAGAACAGGCCAGGTCTTTACATGCACTGGGTCGGCGGGCTCCTTGACGCCCATCATGGGTGCTGGGAGCGACCTCCCAGGGAAGTGGTGTCGTCTCAGATGCCACCAGACAGACGAGGAGCCTGAGGGTCCAGGGGGCATGGTCACTGCCTGTCCTGTCTACCTGGAGCCATGCTCGGGGTATGCAGGCCACCCCGTCCCCTGACCCTGGCTTCTATTACAGTGGACACCTGGGTCTTTTGTCTGCCAGGTCTTGTGACAGGGTAACCATGGAAACCGCTGTGAACTCTCAACATAGGCCATGATTCCAACTTGGTCAGTGTGCAGCAGCGGGCAGGGAGGCTAAGCCCCAGCACAGCGGTTCCCTAAGTATGCGGCGGGGACAGTCGAGCTCCTCTCCGTGCCATCCTCATGGAGGCCACGGGCCCAAGGCCGCTGTGGCTGTGACAGGCTGGTCTCTGGGAGGCTCCACGGGAGAATCACGGCCTTGCCACTTCTGGCCTCTAGAGGCCGCTGTGTCCATTGTCGGGGTGGGGGCGGGGTGCTTCCTCACCTGCTCCTTGACCCTTGCCTTCCCTGGGTCACCATGAGGCTGTGTTGATCCTCAGGACAACTGCCAGTTTCAAGGTCCCTTCTGGCACAGGTTCCAGGGAGGATGGTGTGACATCTTTAGGGGCTGGCATGATCTACCGAGTTGATGCATAGATGAATTGAGATGTTTGCTGAAGGTTGCCCAGCCAGGGAGCCCCAAGTTACCTCAGAGAGTCTCCTGCTGTCCATCCAGGGTCTTTTTCTTGAAAGGCTCATTTAAAGGGGCCACATGGGGTAGACGCCTGGTACTTAACCCCTGCTAATGGATCTGCAGCAGGAAGGTAGCCTCGGCCTGGTCCTCACAGGTACAGGGGGCAGAGCCAGGGCTCAGCTCTGCAGAGGTGCAAAGGCCCTGTGGCTGGGTCTCGAGGCCCACATGGCAGGAGCAAAGCAGAGAGGGAAGGGCAGGGAAGGTTGAGGGAGTGGGGGCCATGGCAGGAGCTTTGATCTGTCCTGAAAGCCATGAAGACACAGGAGTACTGAGTGGGGAGGGGCTTGGCCTGGCCTGTTAGGGCCACAAAACGAGGAAGAGATTTTCAGGGAGCAGTAAGGAAAAAATGAAATGGAAAAAATGGAACTTGGATTAGTGGGTTCGCCCTGGCTCAGTGACTCTGGGCCCTACTTCTGAAGGCTCAGCATTGCCTTGGGCTCAGAGAAGTCTGGGCCTCACCTGGGGTCACACAGCAGTGTGGCCAGGGCACAAGGTCCTCCACTCCCAGCAGCCTTGCCTGAGGTGTGCGGGAAGGGTGCGCCGGGGGCAGCAGGAGGCTTGGGACCCAGTTAGGAAGGAGCTCGTCAGCCTCGAGTAGGGCCTTGAACCTCGGTCTCGGGGGCGCTGGGGGGCCATGGAGGTGTTAGGCAAGAGGACGCCGTCAGAGTTGCGTGAGGCCAGGGAGGAGGCTGCGGGCAGGGGCAAAGGGCAGGGACTGATAGGGAGCAGATTGGTCTGTCTTCCGAAGACATTGTGCCGGAATTTCTTGGGGTTTTTGGCCGGGCGTGATGGCGCATGCCTGCCATCCCAGCACTTGGCAGGCTGAGGCAAGAGGATCGCTGAGAGTCTGAGACCAGCCTGAGCTATGAAGTGAGTTCGAGGCCAGCCTGAACCACGTAGCGAGACCCTGTCTCGAAAAGACAAAAAATTTTTTCTTCCCCTCCAAATTTCATAGATCAAAAATATCATAGATAAAAAGAAAAGTAAGAATTTTTAGATAATTTTTCAGGCTGGTTAATAACTTTCCCACTTATCCTTTGCACCTTGGCGCATTTGTCCTTAAAAACCATCAGAAGTCCTGGCATGGTGGCTCATTTTTGTACCAGGAATCGAACTCAGGACTTTGTGCTTGTCGGGGAGGTGCTATGCCACTGAGCTGTATCTCCAGCCCCACAAAAATATTCTTTTTTTTTTTTTCTTTTAGTACTAGAAACTGAACTCAAGACCTTGGGTGCACAATAGCTCATGTCTGTTATCCCAGCACTCTGGGAGGCTGAAGCAGGAGGATTGCAAATTTGAGTTCAGCCTGAGTAATTTAGTAAGACTGTTACCTCAAAATAATCCAAGTAAACAAAAAGGGCTGGGCTGGGGCTCCCTGGTTTCAATCCCAGGTACCACTGTAAAAAAAAAAAAAAGGAAGGAGGGGAAAGATGATTAGAAATGTCCGAGTACAGCGGGAACCGCTAAGATGCAGCCAGTGATCCTTGCTGTCTTGTCTCCATGGCAGGTTGGGGTCCTCGTGGCCTTTGGCCTCTGCTTCTCCTCCTCCAGACTGGCAGGCAGCTCTCCAGTCACGCCAGCCCTGAGCTCAGGGTGCGCCTTTGCCCGCCGATGCCCACTCCTACCTCGCCCCACAAGGCACGCTGGGACTCGGGCCAGCCCTGGTGTCTTGGGGTACTTAGACCAGAGGACCATGGCCACCCCCAAGGTGGGCACAGGGTTGGCCCCATTTGGAGTGCTGGCTCCAGTAGCAGAGAAGCCAGCTGGGCTCCCTGTGTGTGGTCAGGGGCTGGGACAGGATTGGGGAGTAGGTGCTCATGAGCCCCTGGGCCTCTCCCCATCTGCCCAGCAGCCTGGGGCCCCGCTCCCCTGGAACAGAGCCCGTGTTCTAGTCCCTCGGACAGCATGGAGCCTCGACCCCCAAAGAGGTGACCGCTGCCCTTGCCCGCAGGTGGCTGGTTAGGTGAGCCTGCAGGTGCTCTGGGTGCTCAGTGTGGCCCAGGAGACCTCATGGCCTTATCCACACCCCAGCCTCACATCAGCTCTCTACGGCTCCTTCCCTCACCCATGGCCCTCTGTGCCCTGCCCCACCGGCTCAGCCAGGACACTGGAGCCCAGAGAGAACATTGGGCAGGGCAGGTGGCAGAGGCCTCCAGTGGACGAGGGAGCCTTTGCTGGCCCGGAAGAGCACCTCCCGCCCGCCCTGCTGGGCTGAGGTGAAGATGAATCTGCTCTGCAGCCCAGCCTCAGGATGCCAGAACCTTCCTTCCTGCATGGGAAGGAGGCCTCATCTCCTACCGTGCTCACCCTTGGCCTCTGGACCTCAGTGCTTGCACCTGCCCTGTGCCAGCACCCTCATCGCTCGGCCTGGCTCACCAGTCCTGGCCCCCACGGCCCTCCTCCCCTGCTACTGCTTTCTCTGTCTGTATATCCCTCAGTCTGGCCAGCCTCAGGGCTTTTGCATGAGCTGCTCTTACTGTGTGGAGCGCACCTTTCCCAGGGGTCACTGCCCGCAAGAGGGAGCCAGGGCGCTGCCCAGGATGGGGGGACCCCAGCTGCTTTGTGGAAGGGAGCTGGCTGAGAATTGCATGTCTGCAAAAGGTTAAGGTGGGAGCAACATGGACTCTGGACTTGAAGGGAGTAAGGGGGACCCCAGAGGAGAGGCTCGGGGCTGGGATCTCAAGGCCAGGAGGGGCTCTGGAGTGCTGGTCAGATTTCGTTTCCATGAGGATGGCTAGTCCTTCCCACGATGTTAACGCCTGGCTCTGCAGGTCCCAGTCCCCACCTGCTCCAACCCAGGATTGCTAAAGGATGGGACTATCCAGGAGCGCTGTGACACCAGGGACAGGAGGGAATGGCACCCTGGTCCAGGGCTGGCCACCAGTAGGGGGCAGCAGAGGGCAGTGCCTTGCCTAGCGCTTTGGGCTCAGGCCCTGGAGTTCTTGTAGCTCTGAGGCCTGGGCCTGGTTTGTAGTTTTCTTGGCTATAAAATGGGAGGAACAAGGCTGTCAGCTGACATTTTCATTGGGGGTTGGATGAACTAATGTGGCAGATAATTAAATATGTGGAGTGTGTTTGAATAAATCACCACAGTGAAAAATGCATTGCCTCAAATCCCCTGAAATCCTCCCAGTTTGGGCCTGTACCTCAGTACCGTAGTGCAGGTTTGATGAATGAGTTAGTGAATGTACAAATGATGGCTGAACTGCAGGTCCCTGTAGCCACCTGTCCTTCTGGCCTGGGGTGGGCGTCCTGGTGACGAGGTTGGCTCTGTCTCCACAGTCTTCGAGGAGCCTGAGGACCCTAGCAGCCGCTCCTTCTTCTCCGAGATCATCTCCTCGGTGTCGGACGTGAAGTTCAGTCACAGCGGCCGCTACATGCTCACACGGGACTACCTCACGGTCAAGGTCTGGGACCTGAACATGGAGGCGAGGCCCATAGAGACCTACCAGGTGGGCCCCGGGTCCCGAACTGTGCCCAGGACCCCCGAGGGGCTCACCCTGCCTCCTGGAGAGCCAGGGCCATCGCCAAGCCAGCCCTCAGGGAGGGGAAGTGGTGGGGCCAGAATTTGGGGTGCTGGCATCTGGGATTGCATGCTGGGTGATCTCAGCACTGCCGTCTCCAGGGAGCACCCGTTAACAACGCCAGCCAGGTGACCCAGGCTCACCCATGTCTCAGGGTCCCCAGCACAGATCCTTTACCCAGTACCTGGGGCCAGCCTGAGTGTGTCATGGAAAGCACTATTCATTAGTGTTCTGTCGTGGTCCTTCCAGACAGCTTGGGGTAGGAACCAAACTCACATGGTGTTAGTGTAGTGAGGGGAAGCTGAATGGGGTGGTGCAAAGCTGTAATCCCAGCACTTTGGGAGGCTGAGGCAGAAAGATCATAAGTTCAAACCCAGCCTGCACAACTTAACAATTTAGCAAGACTAAATCTTAAAGAGGGCTGTGGGAGGGAGAAAAAGTGGTTCACAGCAGGCACTATCTAGCTCTGATCTGACCCAAAGTCCTTTGCTTGCTCCCGAGGGCCAGGGAGGGCTATGTTCTGGGGATCCCCTAAAGGGTGCAGGGCTTCAGAGTCGTGTGTGCCGTCTGACTCAGGCCACCTGTGAACCCACAACAGTGGCTGTGGTTCCCCGACTCCCGGCAAGACCGGCCCCCCTCCGTGTTCCTCCAAGGCCGGAGAGGGAGACAGGGACCAAAGAAGCTGCGCTCACACCTGCAGGCGTGCGGCCCGGGCCCACACTGGCCTCCTGCCTGTGAGCCCCGTGCATATTGGGGGGCTGTGGAACCTTTAGAGCATCCCAGGCTCACGGGGACCGCATGAAGGAGAATTAGGCTCTCGCCCCAAGCTGGGTGCCCGGCTTCTGGCCCTGCAGGCAGATTGATGCCAAGTAGTGATGCAGCCCAGCACCTCGCATTTTAGGGCGACTTAGAGTCTGCTAGAAACGGCGTGTGCAGGATGGTGCTGACGGCTTGGGGGACCCAGCAAATAAGCGCTACTTTTCTCCTGTCGTGAGAGTCTGGGGTGCCGTCGACGGTCCAGGAGCAGTGACTGGTCCCAGACCTGGTCAGGGCCCCGGCGATGCTCCCCGTGGCAGCCTGAAGTCTATGCAGGCTGCGGGCTCCGCCTTCCAAGCGGAAGCTGCCTGCGATCGCCAGGCCCCGCCCCGCCCCTCGCCTGGCCACGCCTCTCACTGGCCACGCCCCCCGCAGGTGCACGATTACCTGCGCAGCAAGCTCTGCTCCCTCTACGAGAACGACTGCATCTTTGACAAGTTCGAGTGCGCCTGGAACGGCAGCGACAGGTGAGCCCCTCCCCCGCCCTCCGCCCGCTGCCCGGCGCTTTCTTGTCCTGATCCTAAGGGCCCCTATTCTGCGGCATCAGGGATGCACGTGGTAGCCCGGGTCCCGAGTCCTCAGGGCTCCGAAAGGCAGCGGGCAGTTCACACCTGGCCCTGACCCTGTCCACCTTCCTCCCCTCCCGCCATCACTGTTTGGGCCACGGCCTTGGCGGCAGCCCCATGAAATCACTCTGGGGCTCATAAACATAGCAGGGGCGCCTGTCCAGGCCGGCCAGGACCCACACGTCCGCCCTCCACTCTCAGCCTCGCTCCTGTGCCCGACGTGAGCTCCGCGTGGCCACAGCCCAGGCTGGCTATGGATGGGGACAGCTCCCAGCAGTGCTCTCCCGACTACCTGAGGGTCCTCTCCTCCCTGCAACCCAGGGCCCAGGGATTCTCCCTCTGCCCCCAAGGCAGGAAACTCCTCCCCAGTCTTCACAATCTTTCACAGCACTGAGTGTGGGCTGCATGGCTCGGACTTGAGGGTCAAAGCTGCTTCCCAGTCTGCAGAGCCAAGCAGTGGCCTCTCAGTGCCTCCTTCTGTCCGACACTTGGTGTGTGGGAGAGGTCTCACTGTGACAGGGAAAGCAGGGATGAATCTTGCCCTGGCCAGCTTGTGAGGTGGGGGCCAGCAGAACTGCCATGCTTGGACCTCTGGCTTTGGGCCTAGGTGCGACTATAGGGGGAGGTAGGCGGGGACAGGGACAGGGCCCGGAGGGGTCACTCAGATGGGTCACCGTGATGGCCATGGGGCTCCACGAAAGGACATTGAGGAGGCCAGGACCAAGCCCCAGGGACGGAGCCTGAGTGGCCCTCTCCTGCCCACACCCACGTCCAGGGCCCTGAGGAATTTCTCAAGCTGGAGTGCTGCATGTTTGGGGCTCCACTGTGCACCGTGGGAGATGGTCATGGGGTCCTGTGAAGGCCGCAGGCGAGGGGCTCGCGGCTGTGAAAAGATGCCTCCAGCGGCATAAGCACCTGCCTTGCAAGCAGGCGGTCGTGAGTTCGATCCCTGGTACCGAGAAAAATGAAAAAGACAAAAAAAAAAAAAAAAAAAAAAAAAAAGAAAAGATGCCTCCATTCCAGCTACCATGCGTGGACGTGTGTTGAGGAGCAGGGCCCGGGGGGGTCCCCTTGTGTTGCCACCAGAGGGCGCCTGTGAGTCCCTGTGACACCCATCAAGATTGCAGGTCCCCTTTGACCGTAGATGCTGGCAGGCCCATGCTGTCCAGGTCACCTGTCCCAGCATCCTGCCCTCCTCCAGGCCAGCTCCCACGCCTCCTCCTCTGCAGTGGGCTCTGTGTGGGAAAAAGAGACCTGGGCCCACCTGGCGACTCCCGGTGCCTTGTTCCGAAGAGAAGCCCCTCAGGGCTCCTGGAGGCTGGCTGGCTTTGGGGTGACCTCCTTGCCTCTAACCTGTCCCTGTCTGTCCCTCTCTGCTTCCCCTATGTCCCTGCCTCACCCTCTCCTGCTGCAGGCCGTTTCCCCCCTTTTGCTTGGATGACAACCCCAAAGAGTCCCCTGCCTGTTGTCTTCGGCCCCATTGGCTCTTTCAGGGTGTCTGAATTCTCATGGAAGAATCTGATTGGCTTTGTTGGGTCACAGGCTCACTTTGGAGCCAATCAGCATGGACATGAGTATCATGGGGGCAGGGGGGGAACACTGTGATTGACAGTCCACAGGGCTGGGCCAGGAGCCCTTCCCCCAGGGAGCCAACCCATGCCAGCGGGCCCTCTGCACTGCTGTCCCCTGTGGGGCCATCTTTACACTGTGTCATCAGGATGCCAAGCTATAGGCAAGCGCTGAGGCCCAGGACCCAGGGACTCCCAAAGGCTGTGGCACAGGCAGGGTGGGACCACATTGTATCCCTAGGCAGGCCACTGACCAGGTGCCCAGGTGGCCCCCATTCCCATACTGTCCTGGAGACCTAAGGCCGACAGACCCCTTCCTGGAACTGCCCTCTGTCCCAGGTCCAGCCTCACAGAATGTTAACCCTTCCTGCCACTGTTGTAGAAACCTGGTTCTGACCCGAAAGGAAGGTCCTCTGTACCGAGGAGTTTGGAAGGCCATGATTCATTACACTAGCAGGCTGGGGGTGGTGGGGGGCACGGTTCCGAGCCACCAGCCCCAGGTCCGCTTAGTGCAGCTTAAGTACATTCTGCAAGCAGGAGATACCAGGCTGGTGGCAGGTTATCACATGATTGTTTTCATGCACTGAGCCCTGTGTTGTCAAGCCAGCTGGTTCTAAGTAGGTTTACTTAAAAGGAATTGTTTACCACAAGGTAGGAACACCCCGGGAGGCAGGGGAGGGGTCTGAGCTGAGTGGGTAGAGTCCAGTGTGTCCTTGACTGGGTCAGTCTGACCCCGACATGAAGTCCTTGAAGCAGGTTGGAAAAGCCGTAAGTATTTTGCCAAGTAGGGAGAAACATAAGCATCGCCGCAGGCACAGTCAGGTTGACCCAGCGCGTTGTCCCAGAGAAGCAGCTGGATAGTCAGGGCTGACTGAGCTGAGCAGGCTGACAGACGCGTGGACACAGGCCCCTGACTGACTGACCGTTAACTTCTGCTCTGAAAGTTTGCTCCTCTACAACTTTGCCCTTACATCACCAGGCGAAAGTGCCTGCCGAGGAGGAGGGAACTGGGAGTGGATGGGAACACTGTCAGGGTCTGTGGAGCCTGGACCAACCCCGTGGCCACTGTGTTCACCCTTCGTGTGACTGCTCAGGGACCTGCCGCAGCCCACCGTGGCCAGCATTACACCTAGTTCTTTGGAGCTGGGCAGTGGACAGTGGGAGGGCCCAGGGACAGTTCCTACACTTGGGGGAGAAGGCAGGAGGGTGTCGAGTCTGTGTTGGGGTAGAGCCTTAAAGGACTCTTAGCACGTGGCCCCAAAGTCTCAGTGGCAGTGGCAGCTGTGGCTGCCCCCTCCGTCCTGTTCCTCTGTGTCTCTCTCTGTCCCCACTCTGCTGACACCTGTCCCTCTCCCACCAGCGTCATCATGACTGGGGCTTACAACAACTTCTTCCGCATGTTCGACCGCAACAGCAAGCGGGACGTGACCCTGGAGGCGTCACGGGAGAGCAGCAAGCCGCGGGCTGTGCTCAAGCCGCGGCGCGTGTGCGTGGGGGGCAAGCGGCGGCGGGACGACGTCAGCGTGGACAGCCTGGACTTCACCAAGAAGATCCTACACACGGCCTGGCACCCGGCCGAGAACATCATCGCCATCGCCGCCACCAACAACCTCTACATCTTCCAGGACAAGGTCAACTCCGACATGCACTAGGCCCCGGTGGCCCTAGTGGGGCCCGCTCTGCCAGCTGCCCTGGGCCGCACTGGCCTTGGACGGCTGCGACCTGTCTAGAGGAGGAAGCAGTGTCCACAGGTGCAGGTTCCTGGCGGCTGTGGTCCCGTCCGCATGGTTCAGGGTTCTCATCACTCTCCCGCTGCCGGCCAGGGCTGCGGTCTTTCCCATGCTATTAATTTTCATTCGGCTGCTCTCTTGAGGGGAGGCCGGAGCTGGTCTGAATAGAGGCTCCAGGACAGAGACTGAGGCTTGCATGGGCCTGCTGGGACTTGGATGTAAGTGGGCAGCTGGCCCTGCCTGGAGCTGGTCCTGCCTCAGCTTCCCGGTGGGGAGCTGGCACTGAGAATTTGTGGATGTCCCATACCAGGGCAGGTTCCCGAGGGGAAGGTAGGGCTCCACGCCTGCCTGTCCCCTTGCCTCAGTGTCGCATCGCTGAGCTGCTGGGGCACGCTGGGTGGGGTGCTCAGATTCCTGCAGCCCAGTCCGGGCAGCTTTGCTGTCGTCTGTCAAAATTGCTGGGTACCTCCCCTTGGGACACTGGCTCCCGCCTATGACTGACGTGGATGTCTGTTCATGTCCCTGTGCCGGGCCCTGCGCTGGGGCCAGGGATAGAGGGAGAAGAATTACTGTCAGCATTGTACACAAGAGGAAGCCGAGGCGCTGGGTAGAGATGTAGTGCCCGAGGCAGGTGCCAGGAACTGTCACGCTGGGGTGCCGTCCTGCCCTGCGTGGGCACCATGCTCACATGAACCCAGGCCTGAAGGCAGCCTCTCTGCACTTGTGAAGCAGGACACAGCAGCATCTCGATAACAAGGGGTGACACAGAGGGAAGATGGAGGAGCCGCTGTGTTTGGTGCCGTAGGGCTGTCCCCTCCCAGGGACTGTACCCCAGGTGGCACCTGCAGCTCCTGGTGCAGCCATGCTGAACCGCCTCCAAGAGGAAATGCATGTTGTGACCACATTAGGGTATTTTTGAGGACCACACACGCTCCCCCACCCAGCCCTGAGGTCTGCAGGGAGCAAGGTCTCCACAGTGCATCCTGCTGGGTGACACTGGACTCCACCCTCTGTCCTGTGGCCCTCAGGATGGCAGCAGAACCAGGCAGCTCAGGCCTGGGGTGCAAGAGCAGTCAGGCAGGACCCAGCTGGGCCAGGCTCGTGTCTTCATTTCCTACACTGCAGACCATCAGCCAGGCAATGGCCTCAGGGGCGTCCTTGGTGGGCTGCCATGGGCTGTGTGTGTGTGTGTGTGTGTGTGTGTGTGTGTGTAAAAGCACAAAACGCATGTGCACTCACTGCTGGCCATAGTATATTTACACACAAATGGATCCACTGAGTTTTTCTTTTTGATTGATGTGAATGAAGATGTCTGTTTATATAGCGCTGTCTAATCCAGCTGGCCCGGACAGTATTATATGTACATATCTACCTTAGTTAAGTTTAACAATCACAAGAGCGGGTGACTTCATCCCCCCGTGTAAAGATGCTTGAGGGTGTTGGAAATTGTACAGAAATCTCGCCGAAGCCAAAATCCAGCGCTGCGGGCCTCAAGCACTTGCTGGGGACCTGGGCACCGCCGTCTCCCTCTGTGATCCCGGCGTCCAGAGAGGAAATGGGAATTGGAAGGTCTAAGTTCCCCTGGCGTCCCAGGCTTACCATTCATCATCTCCAGAGTGCAGATCCTACATGGTCTCGGAAGGGGTCCTCACGCGGTTTCTACTTCCTGACCTCTGTTCTAAACTTTGGGTACCAAACCAAAAAGGGGGTGGGGAGCAAAGGAAAGCTGGGGAGAGATCTCAGAAGAAAAGCGTGGCTTTGGGTCCCTAGAAGACGCAGGGTCCAAAGCCGGCTGCAAATAATGAAATATGGGGAGGGGCAAAAATTTGTGGGGGACTCCAGGAAGCCACAGGCTTGAGCCCTTTTTCTGCTTCCACCTCTGGTCTTCTTGGGGTGACACCGTCACTGGGGCTTTATTTCTTCCCCTTGGGCTGCTGTTCTCTGAGGCGCAGCCCTGGGTGGGAAGGGGCGTGGGTGTAGTGGGCCTGAGGGTTTGGATTCGGGAACTCCTAGGTGCATTCTTTCTTTCTTGGGTGTCTCACAGATTATCCAACTGTTGAATAAAATTATAAATATGTGAATACCAGCTTTTTCCAATAAAATAACAAATGTTACATCTAACCCAAGACCCAGAATGCTGTTTCATGTGGCCGAGCCTGTCATGGGGTGCAGGATGGGTTTCAGGTCACGAGCCAGGTGGGCTCTGCAGGGGACCTGGTTCCCAGGGGGATTGCTGCCTCCCAGCCTCAGGGTCCTGGGTCACCTCACCCACCCAGTGGAGAAGAGCCAGGGCCCTGGGCTGGTGCAGGAAGCTGCATGGCCTGCCGGCGGACGGGAAAAGCTGTGCACCCGGGTCCTGTGCACCTGCCCGGATCTCACTGCTTACACCCGTCTGTCCGTGGGATCTACACTCAGGCCCGCTCCTCCGTCACCTGCACAGTCCCCAGGGCAGCTGGAGGGAGAAGGTGCTTCCTAACTCTGTGACCTCTGGCTCCCCAGCTAACTTCTGATCTGTACATGCAAACAGCTCACAGCTCCTCAGGCCATCTGGGGACCCATGTGACCTGGTTCTGCCACATGGGTGTTGTCTAGGTGTCACAAGATCCCTCTTTTGCAGGGGAAGGGGGCAGTGTTCCTGTGGCCCTATTCATTGTACAGGTGGAGAAACTGAGGCTAAGAGGGGGGAAGTAATGTAACATGGGCCTAATGTTCAAGAACTAGGAAATAGTGGGGTCAGGTTTCAAACCACAATGGTGACAATGCCCGCAAATGGGAGGGCTTGGGACTGTGGCAGATGGTGTGGCCCCGGCCTCCCACATCCAGCTTCGGCCAATGCCAGTGAGGCTCCGACACAGATCGTGCAGATGTGCTTAGGTTGGTGTGCCCACCTCAGGATGGGAGATTGTCCTGGATCTCTGGGCAGGCCCTGACACCCCATGAGCTCTGCAGCATTAACCAGCCCTGCCTGCATTTGTCACAAGAGAGAGGACCAGAGGGGTGACATGCGGTCTATCACAGCCATTGCTGACTCTGAAGACCTGAGGCCTCTAGGAGCTCAGCAAGGCCAGCAAACAGATTCTCCTGACAGCCCTGGAAAACCAGCCCTGCCACCCTGGACCTTGGCCCATGGTGACCCATGTTATCCTCTGACTGTCAGGATGGATGGTAATAAATGTGTATTCTTTCAAGCCACCAAGTTTGTAGTCCTTGGTCACAGCAGCCCTGGACACCAATATCCCCAGGCGTGTTCCCATGGCAACCCCTTTAGGGGAGAGCTCCTTATTTACAGATGAGGGTGCTCAGAGCGGTCCAGATACTGCCCATGGTCACATGGCACTTGGTTCCTGCTGATGGCTGGGGTTCCTAAGGGTGGGTTTCCTAATGGTGGTGAGGTGAGGTGGTGACTCCTACTAGGGTCGTGGGGCTTCAGGAGACAGGGGAGCAGGCACAGAGGTAGCCAGGCACTTGGGGCTCCATGCTGTGCCCAGCCCTGTGCGCCAGCTGTGGAGGCCAGGGAGGGTGCAGGTGGCTGCGGGTAGTGCGATAGCCTTGACTCCCTCCCTGCCCTTGAGATGGTCATCTTGGATTCTCTAGGGGAACAGAAACAACAGAAAAAAGGAAAACCATGATCAATTCCCAGGATGAGGCCGCAGTGGGCGTCCACGTGCTGGAGAGCTGAAGAGCCGCTGAACCCACGGAAAAGAAGTCTAAAGAAGGCGGCGGCCAATCCCAGGCTGCAGGCTGGAAGCTCCTTACAGAGCCGCTGGTGTGAGTCTGTCTCGCAAGGCTGCAGAAGCTGGAGTCTGGCATCCACAGGCGACCGCAGCAAAAGGCACCCAGGCTACAGCACAGTGGAGCTGTTGAAAAGCAGGCTGACTTCCTCCTCCTTCTCTGTCAGTGCATCCGGCTGCAAGCCCATTGGACAGAACCACCCCCAGGGGAGGCCTTCCCCTTCCATTTGCTGGCCCACACGCCAATCATTCGTGGAGCCACCCACAGACCACCCAGAGGGTTGCTTTAGTAATTTAGGCTTCTTAATCCAGGAAATTGACTTCGTAATTAACAGTCACGGACTTGGAAGCATAATTGGGGTCACATCTCTCCCTGGACCACAAGCTCTGAGGCCCCCAACACTGGTGTCTGTGGACGACCCGCTTTCTTGTCTATCCCTGCACAGCATGTCGTTATTGGTATAAACAGGGACACCCCTGAGCCGTGCACAGTACTGGGAGCTGCAAATGTGTGGCTCAGTCACCCACGTGGTCACCTGGACACAGGGTGCGCTCATTCTCACTGTGTCACAAACTGGAGGGTGACTCACCCAGAGCCCAGGGTCGTAGTTACCAAGCTGTGCCAGACACCCTGGTCCCTGGGCATCCAGGTCCCTGCAGGTGCTGTTCTGAGGGATACTGCTGGCCGCCGTCCAGATTCTCCTTCTCCTTCCTACACCTGACTGCACACTTTGCTCCCCAAGAAACTTGGATGAGGCTTGAGCCCGAGCCCCTGCCTCCACTGAGCCTCCTCTTTGGTGTCACAGCACAAGCCACAATAAGGCCAGAGACCACCTCCGCATCCTGCTGTATCTCTGTGCCCAGTGCAGCCCTGTGCTGATGTCTTCATGGGAACTCACTGAGCCAGTCCCATCTGGACTGTTTGGCACAGTGCATGGCCCCCAGGCCCCTGGTGTGCACTCCAGACCGAAGCTTCCTGTTTCCCACCCCTCACTCCTGTGGCAACAGCCGACAGAAATCCACGAGGCCAGGGGACTGGGAGGGAGCAGCAGCCTGAAGCTCTGGGAAGTGATGGGGGGGGGGGCAGTTTCCAGCCGGCAGAGCCTGAGTGAGCAGGGAGGGACAGCAGAGGACCCCAGACCCGATGATGGGGTGCGGGAGGAAAGAGCACCTGTTGAAGGACCGACCCCAATGCTACCCTGCAGAAGGCAGAGTGGCTCAAGAGAGGCTCATGCACTAGGGTGGTGCTCCTCCTTTGGGACCAAGGAGGAGCTGCGTACTGAGAATGGGTAACCCCCACCGCCAGGGAGCAGTTGAGAGGCTCCCCAAGTGAGACACTGAGACCCCAACACTGGCATCTGGAGGACCCAGGCATCCCACGGGGGAGCATCACTGCATCCGTATCCTGCCCTGCTCAGCACACAGCCTCTGGGCGGCACGGTGCTGTGCTGCGAGGCCCGGTGGGCGCCAGAGACAGCCCTGCTTCAGAAAAGACCAGGGTGAAAACAAGCTGAGAAAGCAGAGCAAGCAGGCATGGGAACCATCAGATACGAGCAGTAATTGAATAAAGATTTTCTAAAAATATTACAATAAACGTCCACATGAGATGAGAGGAGACAGGAAATGTTCAAAGGGCAGAAACCATGGGAACTGGGAGTGCGATGGCCGAGCAAAGATTTCTCCAGAGATTGGGAGATAAAATTCAGGAAATTTCTCAGGATGTAGATGTTTAAAAATCAAAGAGACACTTGGAGAAAACAGAGCCTGTCAGCGCTCTGAAGTCAGGAAGAAAAGAGCAGGAAATGGAGGAAGGGAAGAGAAGAACTCCAGGCCCGAAGAATCCACACTTCCAGACGCAAAAAGGCCACTGTGTGGGCACAGTGGCTGGGACAGCACGCGTGTCAGGGCCATCGAGGCCAAGCTCAGCCCACTGTGACAATGAGGACGCCAGGAAAGCTTGCTTGGGAGTGTCAGAGTCCCGTGGGTTTCACAGCCTGGGAGGGAGGTTAGAAATCAAGGAAGCGCTGCTCTCAAGGACTGCTTCTAACCCAGACTGAGCCCACCAAATCATAACGCATGCATGAGGGGAAATCAGCACCTTTTCTATTTTTATTTTTTTAAATTTTATTTAAGGAGAAAAAAAAAACAGAAAAAGGGTACAAGTTTTACAGAATTAAAAAAAAATAAACAGTAGGAAATCATTAGTTAATAGATTACATATTATCATCTTAGGAATAATTGTTCAAGTTACAAAATTAAAGGCTATAAAGTGCACATTCAAACAGTGAGACTGCAAACAGTTCTATTCAATGATCCAACAAAAACTCAGTAATATGGTTATCTATCTTATACGCTTAAATATACATGCAATTATATACTTTAGAGCACTTTCTTTTCCTCTCTATTTTACAATAACAATTACACATTTTGGGTTTTATTACTCCCACAGTTCTTATTACTTTTTTTTTGAAGAGAAAAAACCAAATGTGACATAACAAAACAGAGTCAGTCAAATCAAAAGGATGGACATAATACATAATGTAAAAACAAAATACGGGGGCTGGGGATTTAGCTCAGTGGCATAAACACCTGCCTTGCAAGCAGGCGGTCGTGAGTTCGATCCCCAGTACCGATAAAATAGACAAAAAAAAAAAAAAAAAATACAAGGTGATCAACAATGGTTACCATAATGCCTCTTGCTATCTTAAAAAGAATTGCCTATATCTTAAGTTATAATAAAATTGAACAAAACAGTAAAGAACAAAACCAGTAAAGCCAAAATATTAGAGACATTACAGGACTTCAAAAGAAGATAATAGTCAAACCAGAATGGGTGTCATAGTGAATCTTATTATCTTCACAGTTGATGCCTATACTCTCGAAGTTGGTACTATCAAGCAAAACAGAATAGAGGAAAATCAATCAAAACAAGATGGTGAGAGCAATACATGCTTTCAAATCAAGTTAATAGGAAATCAAAGTGGGTTACTATAATATATCCTGCTATTTTTTATTTATTTTTCCCTTAATTAAAAAGATAAAAATAAAAGTAAATAATAAAAAAAGGAAATTGAGATAAAAGAGGACATAACAACAAAACAGCACAGGTCAGAACATAACCATTTAAGCAAAATAGTGTCTCACCACAAGATATCCAGACATAAAAGTAGGTTCCATAGTGTCTCTTCCCTTGAAATCTTTGAGTATAACTTCGTATACTGTAGCATCAAACATATAAGACAATGTAAAACCATTCAAGAGAGCCGGCCGTGGTGGCGCATGCCTGTAATCCCAGCACTCAGGAGGCTGAAGTGGGAGGATCATTGCAAGTTCGAGTACAGCCTGGGCTACAAGGTGAGCCCAAGGACAGCCTAAACTGCATAGCGAGAC